TTCTCAAAAAATGGTCTCTACACCAGCAGCATCAACATTAACTAGAAAGTTTGTTCGAAGTGCACATTCCTGGGGCCTATTTCAGACCTAATGAATCAGAAACTCTGAGGGTGGGACCTAGCACTTTGTGTTTTAATAAGCTCTCCAGTGATTTTTTATGAACATTAATGTTACAGAAACACTTTACTGTATAAATCTTAGTTCCCTTCTAGGAAGTCTCAAAACGACGACTAAATTTGGGAAGGATGTTTATTATTTGAAGTCGCTCTATTGACAAGATCTGAAACAATTGGTAAAGGACATAAACTGGCATACCAAGTGTCTTGCTAGTGATCATTTAAGTTCTTGAGAAATGCTGAATGATTATCATCACATCTCTGAAGAATGGCTCAAGGGGTAATTTAGTCTGAAGAAAAGGAGCAAATTAATCAAGGATACTGATGTACTCTTTCCCAGAGAGAGAACTCAAAGAGGTGAATTTAAACTTCAGTTGGATATATGTTAGGCCCAAGAAACATCTTTTGATGAGAAGTGGTACTAAACATTTTGAAGGGCTATAAGGCAATTTCTAAATCAATTTGCAGTGACAGTGTAGAGAAACTCCGTTTTGAATTGTTTGGTTATATCCCTGCCTGGGGTCAGAGACAGAGATCTTTGAAGTAGTGTCCAGTTCTCTGCATAGAATGACTCTAAATACCATCTGATTATCATTTGTTTATTTTTTCACTGGTTATTTTGGAAATGCTTTCAAAGTAAAATAGGGACTAGTGGGAAGTAAAGATGCCTAACTTGAGTGTTCTTATTTCAGTCCGAGAGTCTTTGGGGTGAGATTGTCAAATGAATTCATGTGCTTTGAAAAGCTTTTATGATTTTTTAATGAGGTTTAAAAGCTAAAGGAATGGGATTAGGATCATAAAATCCTTTACTCTTAACATGGTTTCTTTGAACTGATTTAGTAGTGCATTTGTATATTAGAAATAGAGATCTGATTTAGATTGAATCCTCATTGTTTGCAAAAATATAGTCTGGACAAAATTTCCTAGACACACAAACAGTATTAAATTTTGTAATGACAAAGAACAGCTATGCTCTAGCTTTTGAACTAAACACTTTGATTAGAAAAATTAACATCATTTCATATATAGGAATGCTTGAGATTTTTCATACATCATTAAATCCGGATGCTATGTATTTATATGTGAAGTCTCAGTTCAGGGGCAAATGTTTGGTAGAAAAAGTTTAGCTGGGAAAGTAGATTATATAGTATGTTACAGGGGACATGGTAGAAAACTGTATATTTGCATCCTTGTTTTTCAAAAGATTAAAATAGAACCCAGTTACAATGCAGTTGTTGGGAATAGTTGATGTCTTAGTCTGTTCAGGCTGCTTTAACAAGCTACCACAGACTGGGTGACTTAAATAGCAGACATTTATTTCTCACAGTGCCTGGAGGCTGGGTAGTTCAAGATCAAGGCATGGGCAGATTCTAATGAGAGCTCACTTCCTAGTTTATAGACAGCCACCTTCTTGCTGTATCCTCACCTGGTGGAAGAGGCAAGAGAGCCCTCTGGAATCCCTTTTATAAGGGTACTAATACCATTCATGAGGGCTCCAACTTCATGATCTGAGGCTCCGCCTCCTAGCAGTATCGCATTGGGAGTTAGGATTTCAACATATCTGTTTTAGGGGGACAAAGTATTTAGTCTACTGCAGTTGGGAAAAAGAGAAATATTCAGCTTTTTCTTTAGCCTTTGAAAGAACTGAGTGGCATAGTTAATTGGATTTAAATGAGACAGCATGGTCTGCCGTGGACAAGGTTTGAAATTTGAGTCAGAGGACGTAGGTTCTAACTGGAACTATTTCTTGACAGTTTTGTCACCTTGGACAGGCTAACTCCTTTGGCCCTGCTTTATTTTCCATGTTTTAAAATATGAAGAATAATAATATTTATCTAACGGTTTATTATATGAAACAAATTAATATAAATGAAAGTGCTTTGAAAGTAGGAAAACAGATATCAGCTTATAAATAGTACATTTTTATTTGCTCTCTTATTGACAAGGAATTCCTCAATGGAAAATTAAATTAGGTGATTGGAGGGAAAGTTCATAATTTTTAAAAAGGTAAACAGGAAAAGTTCTTTACAAATCATTTTCAGTCAGTATAAATATGGTAAACCTATAGTTAGCTGTGGTTCTCTTAACAGGTTAGTTATAATAGTTTCTCCTATTATTATTTTAAAATATTACTATAGTTGGTGGTTTGTGACTCTCTTCTTTCATAGAAATACTGTGTTTAAAGTAGAAAATGTGTTTGCAATATTTAAAAGAAAATGTATTGTACAAGAGGTATCAGGATGGGTGAGTAGCATTCTGGAGTTATACAATAAATTCTTTCCTGATACATTATAGATGCAATGCAATGGAAGAATATGTAAAATGTTTCACACCTCAAATATCTTTATCATACTTGCTGCACATAAATGCAGTTGTGTATCATATGTTAGAAGACTTTTAAAAATGAATTGTGAATGAGAAACGCATATTCTAGTGGTGCTATCTAAGTATGAATTAGTACACAGCTGGATTGTCATACACACTAACTGTGTTTTCTGGCCTACAGAATAATTTGATACTGGATAGTAGTTATCAAGCAGGCTTTATTGCACATGGATTGGTAAATCCAAAGTAAATTTCAGACATGCCCAACTTTTTGATCTTTGAAAATGACAAGGTCACAAGAGAATTACTAAAAATATCTTAAATACAATTTGGGGTTGGTACACTGAGCTGGATTTCAAGTACTTAATAAACCAAGAAAGGATTGTGTCTTCAGGGCAAATATATAAACATTCCCAGCAACTTTTCAGAGGCACCATAGGCACTAAAAAAATACAATTTCCATACCAACTTAAAATTTTTGTATATTTTCGAATGGTCCCATATTTCAAACTGATCGATATATATGCAGTTTAAATTATTACAAGTGATTGTTTGAAGTAGATGCTAAGAATAGCACTTACTAACCTCCAAGTTAAAAAAAAAGCTAATAGAAAGTATAGCTACATTTAATAATATCATAATTTCAGAGACCTTCAGCCATATTTCTGAGCTGTGTCTTCAAAAGTTATTAACTTGTGACTATTTCTATTGAAATCAGTAGGCTAAATTTGAAGACCACTGAGTCTTCTTATTTGGAGAGATGTGTGGCTTTAAATTAGGATGCGGAAATTACATGATTTGACAGGCCGTCTGATAAATGCAAATAAGACCAACTGTATATGAGGACTGAATGAGAGAAATTAACATATGTAAGCTGCTTGGAAAAGCTAAGTGTTCATCTAAGTGTTGTAAATATGGCATTTTTAAATATATTAACATCTAGGTTTCTATAGAAACTTCTCTGTAATTTAAGGGAGTTCAGGGGCTGAGTATGATCTCATACGTGGGTGGGGCCCTGTATTTATAGCTTTGCCAAAATGTCCTCCAGTGTGAAAAGTAAACTGATCTATGAAAATCTATTTGCTGTATCGTGTCTTATGATGGAGAGGGTCTCTGAAGACAGTATCTCCTTTTTTGTTTGAAATACTGCAGCTATTATAAGATACCTATGCTTTCTCATAGAATGAAGACAAACACAGAGATGGTGTGTCTAAGAAATTTCAAAAGGTGTCGGCCTCCTGATTGAAGCACAGTCAACTTATTGGATTCATTTTTTTCATCCAGTAAGTATAAATATTTAAAGTACATTATTTTGGTCAATGTTGAGTTGTGTTCTTTGTTGAATAAATATTCGCTCTTTGTCAAATACCCTTCGTGATTGGGGCCATTTGTGTTTACATTCTTCTGCAATTTCAGTTGTATGTCTTAAATGAATTTAACTCTCAGGACCTTTAAGAGGACAAATACAGCCATAAACTATGAGCTGGCAGAGCCCTTAGAGATGATCTGGCTCATTCTCTTTATCCGTTAAAAGATGATGCTACTGTGATTTTTTTTCTTACCAGATATGTTATCAGATCCAAATATTTCCGTTTATTTGTCTTACTCTGTGCCACCTCATAGGTGGTCTGGATTTTACTAATTAGCTATTTTTTAAACAATTGATGTATCTAAGGTTGAACATTACATAAATCATTGCTGTAAGGAGCACTGTCTGAATACTTTTTAATATGAAAAAATGCAAAATCTATCTGTTTTTTCTGAAGGCAAAAATAATTTAATAATAGAGTATACCCTTAATCGTTTATCCTATTAGTACTTTGCCATCAAAACAGTAATCATGAGAGAGAGTCCCCATAGTAGCATGTTCTAACCGGGTTTTTCTTCCCTATCCCCTTTTAAGCCACTACTGTTGTTTTGTCAGCTTTTAAATACTCTGAGTTGGACGTGAACTTAAGTTAGAAATCAGGAGCTTGAGGGGAGAGGAGATAATGCATTAACTCACAGTTTGTTTTGAACATAGAACTGGTAGATCCCTCTAATCCTAAGAGATAATTATATAAAGCAGTGCTTGCTCAGAAGAGGTTCCCCGTAGTGGTTGAAACACAAATCTTAAGCTGCAACTAATGCTCCAGACAGGGGGTAGGATATGGAAAAGAGCTTATTCAGACCGTTTGGAAGGTATGAAATGTGGCTATAAGAAATAAGTAGCATAAGAGTAAGTTTTCCTAAGGTTGATTGAAGAAAACATGGCTTCTGGTTTTTAATAGCTTGGCAGAGAGTCAAGATCCAGGAGGAAGCTAGATAGTTGCTTCACAATCTGCCCCAAATACCTTTATAGTTCCAGTCTGGCAACCACCAAATGATCTCTTATCTGAAGGACTTTAGAGTGCACAGCTGGGATGGCCAAAGTTTTCAAATGAAACCAGAAGACCTTTGTATCCTCTGATCAGCCCTGCTTCCCAGGTTCTGTCCCCAAGCTAAATCCTACCTGGGTAGGACAAGCCATTAGAGTTTTGGATACTTGCTTCAGAGGCTTTTCTTTTCTTTTCCTCTTCCAGTTCCTATACTCCTACAAGGGAAAATCATGATTACACTAACAGAGCTGAAATGTCTAGCAGACGCCCAGTCATCTTATCACATCCTAAAACCATGGTGGGACGTCTTCTGGTATTACATCACCCTGATCATGCTGCTGGTGGCCGTGCTGGCTGGAGCTCTCCAGCTCACACAGAGCAGGGTTCTGTGCTGTCTTCCATGTAAGGTGGAATTTGACAATCACTGTGCCGTGCCTTGGGACCTCCTGAAAGCCAGCGCCAACACGTCCTCCTCTGATCCCGGGACCCCGCTTCCGCTCCCCCTCAGAATCCAGAATGACCTCCACCGACAGCAGTACTCCTACATCGACGCCGTCTGTTATGAGAAGCAGCTCCATTGGTTCGCCAAGTTCTTCCCCTACCTGGTGCTCCTGCACACACTCATCTTTGCAGCCTGCAGCAACTTTTGGCTTCACTACCCCAGTACCAGTTCCAGGCTCGAGCATTTTGTGGCCATCCTTCACAAGTGCTTCGATTCTCCGTGGACCACCCGTGCCCTGTCCGAAACGGTGGCCGAGCAATCAGTGAGGCCCCTGACACTCTCCAAGTCCAAGGTTCTGCTTTCGTCCTCAGGGTGTTCAGCCGATGTTGATTCCAGCAAGCAGTCATTGCCCTACCCACAGCCTGGCTTGGAGTCAGCTGGCATCGAAAGCCCCACTTCTAGTGTCCTAGACAAGAAGGAGGGCGAACAGGCCAAAGCCATCTTTGAAAAAGTGAAAAGGTTCCGCCTGCATGTGGAGCAGAAGGACATCATTTATAGAGTGTATCTGAAGCAGATCATCGTGAAGGTCATTTTGTTTGTCCTCATCATAACTTACGTTCCATATTTTCTAACCTACATCACTCTTGAAATTGACTGTTCGGTCAATGTGCAAGCTTTTACAGGCTACAAGCGCTACCAGTGTGTCTACTCCTTGGCGGAAATATTTAAGGTCCTGGCTTCGTTTTATGTGATTTTGGTTATACTTTATGGTCTCACCTCCTCCTACAGCTTGTGGTGGATGCTGAGGAGTTCTCTGAAGCAATATTCCTTTGAGGCGTTGAGAGAGAAAAGCAACTACAGCGATATCCCTGACGTCAAGAATGACTTTGCCTTCATCCTCCATCTGGCCGATCAGTACGATCCTCTCTATTCCAAACGCTTCTCCATATTCCTGTCGGAGGTCAGTGAGAACAAACTGAAACAGATCAACCTCAATAACGAATGGACGGTTGAGAAACTGAAAAGTAAGCTTGTGAAAAATTCCCAGGACAAGGTAGAACTGCATCTTTTTATGCTAAATGGTCTTCCAGACAATGTCTTTGAGCTGACAGAAATTGAAGTGCTCAGCCTGGAGCTCATCCCTGAGGTCAAGCTGCCCTCTGCAGTCTCACAGCTGGTCAACCTCAAGGAGCTTCATGTGTACCATTCGTCCCTAGTGGTGGACCATCCGGCACTGGGCTTTCTGGAGGAGAATTTAAAAATCCTCCGCCTGAAATTTACCGAAATGGGGAAAATCCCACGCTGGGTATTTCACCTGAAGAATCTCAAGGAACTTTATCTGTCCGGCTGTGTTCTCCCTGAGCAGTTGAGTACCATGCAGTTGGAGGGCTTTCAGGACTTAAAAAACCTGAGGACCCTCTACTTGAAGAGCAGCCTCTCCCGGATCCCACAAGTCATTACAGACCTCCTGCCTTCACTGCAGAAGTTGTCCCTCGATAATGAGGGAAGCAAACTGGTTGTGTTGAACAACTTGAAAAAGATGGTCAACCTGAAAAGCCTGGAGCTGATCAGCTGTGACCTGGAACGCATCCCACACTCCATTTTCAGCCTGAACAATTTGCATGAGTTAGATCTTAAAGAAAATAACCTTAAAACTGTGGAAGAGATCATTAGCTTTCAGCATCTCCAGAATCTTTCCTGCTTAAAGTTGTGGCACAATAACATTGCTTATATTCCTGCCCAGATTGGGGCACTATCTAATCTAGAGCAGCTCTCTTTGAACCATAATAATATTGAGAATCTGCCCCTGCAGCTTTTCCTATGCACCAAACTACATTATTTGGATCTAAGCTATAACCACCTGACCTTCATTCCAGAAGAAATCCAGTATCTGAGTAATTTGCAGTACTTTGCTGTGACCAACAACAATGTAAGTAAATCCATTCTTCCTTCTATTTAGCCAGTCTTTTGAGCAGCTGCTGTTGCAGTGTATAATGTGGTTAAAGAAAATGACTTTCAGTCCTACGAAGTATCCTCTGAGCCTGGCCTGACTACCACTTACTAGATACGTGCCTGTGAGTAAATTAGCAAAACACTGAGCATCAGTTTTTGATCTAACTTACAAGTCGTCATGGAGATTTTATGAGAAAAATATATATAAGCACTGGGCACAGTTCCTGGCACATAGTAATTGCTCAACGAATGTTTTCTTTATTCTCTTTCCCCATTTTTTACATAAACATCACAGTTGAAGTATTTTCAACTAATTAGTTATAACAGAGCTTACTTTTTATTTTGGAAAGATCTTAAGTAGTTAGAAAGTCATAAAAGTTTTTAGCTTTCCAGATCTGTCCTAGGAGAAGAAATTTCAGTTAAAAATACTGGGATCATGAATTATTCATAAATCTTTTTTGTGATGCAGTAAAAAAGACTTGAAATCTACATGCATGTCTAGAAAGACAATTCAAAATGAAAGGCCTGGTTCTATAATGCAACACTAGGGCTTCTTAGAAGCTTTTTCCAGCATCCATACTTTAAAAATGAACCATAATTTGCAACAGTAAAGCCAAGTTAAGGAAAACTTGACTTCACTGAAACAAAAAAAAAAATAAATGAGTAGTTTCCTAGGTTAAAATGTGAAGCAGGAGGGAAAAGAAAAAAAAATCATGCTAGCCGAAAGGGCAAGGGAGTGATGGTAATATCCATATGAGAAGAAGGAAAAAAATCCTTCAGAAATCAGGTCTGCCAAAAAATGAAAATTGATCTTCCTGTTGTAGAAAATGGGAGCTATTTTCTTCTACCCCACCCCCATAAATGTAATATCTCCTAGACTTTTTGTAATTCATATTTCATGCTAAATATAACTAGGGGCATGGTGTTAGCTAATAAACATATTAATCACCAGACATTATTTTCAAAAACCATGGATTGTTGGGAAAACACCAGAAAGTTGGGGAATGAGAGCAAAATTCCTGCTGATTTTTAGGACCCTAAGACTTAACTCATATGTTAAAAGGCTAGAACCCATTCTAAGATAAATGAGAAATCTTAAGAGTCTTAAAAGATTATGAGGCTGTAAAACTCCTTGAGGGTTGATCTAGATTAGCAATGTTCATCAGAATTACCTGAAGGGCTTGTTAAAACACCGACTGCTGGACCCCACTCCCAGAGTTTCTGATTCAGTAGGTCTGGTGTAGGATCCAAGAGTTGACAGTTCTAAAAAGTCCCAGGTGAAGCTGATTCTGCTGGTGTGGTGACCATACTTTGAAAACTATATGTCTAGAGATTTATCATTAGTGTTATTTAATCATGTCGTTCATTAATATTAATATTTGGTTGTACTTTTCCCTTTGTTAAGTCAACAATAAAAAATACAAATAATTATTTTGAAAGGCTTTGGGTCCACTAAGTTGTTATGTGGTTATATCACTACATGAATTTTTGAAAGTTGCAGCTGATTAAATTGTTAGCTGGCCATGAATTATTTAAGTGTGTAAGCAGGTTAATGTGTTTTTCTCGTTTAATATAATAAAACCTTAAGACCATTGGTACTTTTGGGGGTGCCTGGGTGGCTCAGTCATTAAGCATCTGCCTTCGGCTCAGGTCATGATCCCAGGGTTCTGGGATCGAATCCCACGTCAGGCTCCCTGCTTGGCGGGAAGCCTGCTTCTCCCTCTCCCACTCCCCCTGCTTGTGTTCCTGCTCTCGTTATCTCTCTGTGAAATAAATAAATAAAATCTTTAAAAAAAAAAAAGACCACTGGTACTTTTGATACCAAGTTTATTGACTTGACCACATCTAAAAGAGAAACTAGGTACGAGTATCAGACACATTTTATCTTGAGTAAGGGAAGATACTTGGTGCACATAAAAAGTCCTATACTGGGTGCCTGGGTGGCTCAGTCATTAGGCGTCTGCCTTCCGCTCAGGTCATGATCTCGAGGTCTTGGGATTGAGTCCTGCATTGGGCTCTCTGCTCTGCAGGGAGTCTGCCTCTCCCTTTCCTTCTGCTCCTCCCCCCTGCTCGTGCTCTGTCTCAAACAAATAAATAAATAATCTTACAAAAAAAAAAAAAAAGAAAGAAAGAAAAGTCCTATGCTGAAGGCAGTTATGGCCAAAATAGAATGATATCTTAGGCTGAGTTGTTTCAGAAGTCTAATAACCAGCAGTTGCCGAGCATCCCAGAGCCATAACAATGACCATGACACCTTTGAATGGGTGAGGAACACTCTCATCAGAACTGTGAAGAGACTCATTTAATCAGGATATGGAGAAAGTGGAACTCACTCAGGAGATAGCAGCCAGAGAGATGAAAAGTTCTCCAGCGGACCAGTTAGCCTAAAGATAGGAAGTATTGGGGAGGGAAGGGAGAAAGAATAGTTCACAATATTGGTCTTTAAATATTTGGAAAACTTAAATAGAAATCTTCTTGCAAGTGACCATGAGTGTTAGAACCAGGACAAGCAGGGGAAAGATTTCTCATATTTCCCAAAAAGCTGTCCAAAAATTGAACCTTTGAGAAGGGGGAAGTGATTTCTTATTAAACTGTCCAGATATAGATTGTCAACCACTTGGTAGGAGTGTTGTTAAAGGGAATCAGGGATTCATGTTTCAGTTTCAAGGTTCCTTCTAACTTTGAGATTCCTAAGATTCTATGATGTAGGCCAAAATATTTTTTTTTAAATTAGAAAATAAAACATCAAATTGGATGTATAAGTATTTAGATATGCACATACTCAGAAATGTGAGTTGATTCGTCCATTTGGAATAAAAGTTGGTAAAGGTTCCTGAAAGGAGAGGTTTTAAAATACTCTTCTAGAGTTGGGCAGTATACCAGGTCCATGGATGGAGTCAACAAATGCTCTCTGTGGTTAAGTAGAAAAGACATTTATTGAAAGGATGTTGTGTCTCTCATATTATCACTGAAAGGCTGCAGAATCAAGCTTGGAAAACAATCAAGCATAAAATTAGTCAGATAACCAAAATGTCAAAAGCATAGCACAAAAGCAAAATGGTGAGGGTACCCTGCCGCTGACCATCCCACCCTGAAAACTGGATACTTCTGCTACTGCAGCCCTCGCCCTCCCACAAAATAAATTCTTTGTGGTTTCTGCTGCTTTGTGACACTAGCTCCGATTTAAAAGTCCACAAGTTTGAGCACCTGATTGGCAGAGCTTGTGAACTCCCACCCCACACTCAAGCTGTAAAGGATCTGGGAACACTAGAATCTGGTGTCATTTCCTCCAGTGGGAAGTGGACTCTGCTTCCCACCAAGAGTCCCACCAAGATGAGGTAGGGAATTCTCCAAACATTGAAGATACTGGGCATCCCCCAAATGACAGACATTCACAGAGAGGGCACTCTAGAGAGTCTTCCACAAGATAGTAATAGGTGTTATCACACAAAACACTAAACATTTCTTTTTATCATATTTTTTGCTGCAGGATTCCTCAGAGCCTTTAGTAGTTGAATATGCATTGTGCTTCTCCAAGAGTGAGGCATGATATGCAATGTTTGCCAAATATATTTGAGCAAGATGCTCTTTATTTTTTTATTTTTTTATTTTTATACCCAATGTGGGGCTCGAACTTACAACTCCAAGATCAGGAGTCACATGCTCTACTGATTGAGCCAGCCAGGAGCCCAAGATGCTTTTTTTTTTTTTTTTTTTTTATATAGTAACTCTTGAGAGGAGTGTTCCTAAGAACACTGGGGGTTGGGGAAATGTAAAAGGATAGAGGTCATGTGCAGAGGCATGCCCAGATGTAATCAGAGATGAGAGCATTTAGAAGGTGGGTCAGAATGGAGAATGCCTTGAAGTCTGCCAGTCAAGTTCAGGTTTAAGTTCATTGGACAGTAGGTGAGGTCGGACTTGAGCTTGAAAGTGATATTTAGCATGAACTGACACCTTCAAAGGAGGCTCTAATTGTAACCCATTTCTTGTAAGGATTGGGAGAATACAATCAAGAAATAAAACCCCTTGAAAAAGTTTAATCAATTATGATTTAGAAGTAGGAATATAAATTAAAAATAAAAAATGAAGATTTATATCTGAAAGGAATACCATGAGCCATCAAGTCGGCAAACTGCAGCTGGGGACCAAAACCCACCCAGAGCCTGAGCTAAGAATGCTTTTTAAATTTGTATACAGCCCCAACCGAAGAATAGTTTTTTTTTTAATTTTTTAATGACCAGGGAATTTTTTTTTAAATAACATTTGTCTCACATGAAAACTATATGAAATTCAAATCTCAGTAGCCATGAATAAATTCCATTGTTCTCATTCGTGGGCCTATATTACAAAAAAAATCATCCTCAATTGTTATTCTGTTTTGAATTTCCTCATTTAAAAATGTATGAAATTTTTTCTCTCCTGTTGTATAAGCACCTACATAATATTTTCAGTTTTGCTTCTTCACCCACAAAACCTAAAATATTTACTATCCTACGCATTTAGAGAAAAACTTTCCAACCTCTGCTCTACTTACTGCCCTCATTTTACTGATATGGAAACTGATGCTCAGAGCGATTTGCCTGAAGTCTGAAGCTTCCTAGCGATGGATCTGGGATGGAACCCAAGAGCTCCAACTCCCACTCTGACCCTCCCTCTACTGCATCTCAGATGCGTCAAACCAAGTGCTCTGATGCGGGAAGCAGTGGTGTGTGTGGATGGGCGTGGGAGATGGGAGAGAGGAGGCAGCATCTCTATACCAGTGCCAAAGCGTAATTGGATTATGATGGTATTGAATGTGATGGAGAAGCATAGGAAAGGGGGGAGGACTCAATAGTTACACTCAAATCTTAAAAACCACTCCAATTTACACCTAGGTCTTCCAACTTTTACATTTGTGCATTTAATGCATTTCTTTTATTAACTCAAAGACTTGTAGCTAGAAGTAGAAATCCCTTCTAAAGATCATTTATGTGGCGGAGCTTGCGTTTGACATCACTGCTTAGAAATGGAAATATTCATTTTTGTTTCCTGAAATGATTGGATTTTATGGATTTGGTTAGCATGTTCTGAGATGATGTGTTCAATGGCCAGAAAAAAACAAAAGGGAAATCTGCCATTGAGACAGATTCTGAAGTAAGGTCTCAGCTCTGGAAACAGGAGAGTATTTAATTATCAAATGTCAGCAATAGATACAGGAGGGGGACCATCCTTCCTTGGGTGTCTGGGGACTCTACTACATTTTGTTCAAGAAACTTTGTTGCCAGAGAATTCTAGGATGTAGCATTAGTTTCTCTCTTTTTTTCCAATTTATTTGATAGCTTATTGCATGTTTCGTTTATAGTTTATTCTGTTAAAAACCATTCTGCATATGAAGTCTGTCATCTCTCTGATAGTCTGCAAACATTTCTTTTGATTTTTTTTTAAAAGAAATTAGTAGTCCATGAGGGTGAGTTTTTCCTTTTTGGATCGTATATTATATTGTCTAGGAAAGAGCATGTTAAATGAATTGAGAAGAAATAAATGCTATCTAAAATTTTTTTATAAAATGTATTGGCCCAGGCAAAATGTTTTTGATGTTCTTGTAAGCTTCAGGGTAAACTATTTTTTTTAAAGATTTTATTTATTCATTTGACAGAGAGAGAATACAAACAGGGGGAGCAGCAGGGAGAGGGAGAAGCAGGCCCCCCGCTGAGCAGGGAGGCCGATGTGGGGCTCTATCCCAGGACCCTGGGATCATGACCTGAGCCGAAGGCAGACGCTTAACCAACTGAGCCATCCAGGCGTCCCCAGGGTAAACTATTTTTAAAGGTTTAGTAGACTTTTCAGGATAAAATTGCTGAATTGAAGGAAAGTTTTTTGTCTCTAACACAGCTCTCCAGCCTCCTTTAACATAATTGAATGCAGGTAGGTGACAAAAGGTCTCGTGCCTCAGCTGGGTGCTGGCACTGAGTAAAAGTCCCCGAGACGGACACTTGGCACTGGGGAAGGAGAACCGCTCACTGCAGCCCTTGCCACACTTTCATGACAGCAGCACAGCTGAGAGACCCCAGCGGCTCACTCCCACTGCCTTATGAAATCCCTCTCCTGTCTTAGGGGGCTGAGAAGTCGCTAAAATCACAAATTTGGAAATTTGAAAGAAGTTGGAGGAGCACATGGTAGCGCTGATAGCCAGACAGAAGGAGAGTGATGGCAATGGCTTCAGGGTATTCACCTAGTGCAAAGGAGTCCAATTAAGCAAGGTGCTTGCTGGGCATCTGGAAACTAACTGTACTAGGGAGATGGAGGAGTCCCGACACAGTCTCTGATATAGTCCCTCCTTCCCAGCACCCACTACAGACTAATTATTCACCTAACTGTTTAGTATTTCTCACCCAGGAGACCAGTGCTTCTCAAATGGGGGCACTTTTGCCCCCATAGAGACATTTATCTGAAGACCTTTTTGATGATCACAACTGAGGAGGGGCATAGCACTGGCTTCTAGTAGGCAGAGGCCAGGGTTGCTGCTAAATAGTCTGCAGTACACAGGGCACCCCCACAAAAGGAATCTCACCCAAAATGTCAACAGTGCCAAGGTTGAGAAACCCTGCATTAGACCGTGGTTCTCAAAGACCCATCTGTCTTGCTCTGCACTTTATCCTCAGCACCTAACTGGGAGCCTGGCACAAAAGGAGGCTCTCTGCATGCATTTACTGAATACAGATGAGCCAAGCCTACCCTCTTTTTTTCAGCTGGCTTGCCTAAGTCATTGCTTAGACACTAATAGGCACCCTCAGGGTTGAGCTTGGGTTGCACAGGACAGATTGTTTACTTGTACATCACTGACCCTACTTCTGAGCTGCAGGTGTATGACCAGAAGAGGTTGCATTAGAAAGGGGTTACATTTCTTTTCTTTTTTTTAAAAAAAGATTTTATTATTTATTTGACAGAGAGATAGCGAGAGCAGGAACACAAGCAGGGAGAGTGGGAGAGGGAGAAGCAGGCCTCCCGCCGAGGAGGGAGCCCAATGCGGGGCTCGATCCCAGGACCCCAGGATCATACCTGAGCCAAAGACAGATGCTTAACAACTAAGCCACCCAGGAGCCCCAGGGGTTACATTTCTCCCATCTCTTATCTCTCTGCCACATCTCTACACTGAAATCTACATATGTATGGTTTTACATCTGCATTCTTGAGAAGAGAATGAAATGGAAGGGTAGATATTTTTCCTTTGCTTATTCCTATTATTTTGGTGTACAGTGATGAACTTTATTGAATGCCATACTTAGCAATGGTGATCATTCGATTTATTTCCAAGGATATCCGATACTGAGTGTATGTGGCAGTGATGGAGGAGAGGGGAATTTCCAATATAATGAGCATTTTTTAATGCAGTTTGACCATTTTTTAGTTTCTAGAGAGAAAGTTTATCCTTTTGAGGAGATAGTTCTGGATGGCCCTGGAAATTCCAGGGGAGAGCTGGCTCAGTGGGACTGTGTTAGCCCATCAGAGGAGCAGGCTGAGCTCTCGAGTGCCCCTTTCATCCCCGTGTCTAACAAAGCCACGTCCTGAACCAAGGAAGGAGCCTGCACTATTTCATAGTTGCAAAGATGCCCCGTCCACAGGTAGATAAATATGTGGAGTATTAGAGATTGGGGTGTGTGCTGTCCAGCACTACCTGGTGCAAACTCACCTCGCAGTGGCATGGTGCGAGTGGAGGATGCTTGCTCTGAGCTCTTCTGTGGATGTCTTTTCCAACCAACTTTCACATGTGGACTGTGGCTACCTTAGAAATTCACATGCAGTCGACCCACCACATGGGGGAGCAGCTCATTTGAGCAGTCCTAGGAGATGACCTAATTTCAGGCTATTTATCCTATTTTAAATTATTTCTCCGTGTTACATGATTTAATTGAAACTGCCAGAGGGCAGGAAGAAGGGTAAATACTCAGGAGTATATATGTAGAGGGAAATGAAATGTGCGTGTATAGATGATCATGTCTTGTCTGTGCTTCGGTCGACTTTTTTCTTTTAACAGAATGAAGTTTTCAGTCTCTAGTTTGAAACCCTTAGAAATAGCCTTGTGTCTGTACTCACAATGTTTTTGAGGATAGTGCTCATTACACCACACAGTAACTCTTTATGAGGATTCTTGAGAAAAGTTATTTCTGATCCTCAGCCTCAAGAATAATTGTGATTTTCCTAAAATACTGTTGTTGTTTTTTCTCTTAGGGACCATGAGTAGGTGACTAATTAGGTTTTGTTTGAGAATTGCTTGTTAGAATGCTTAGAATAAAATCTTTGGCCCATCCACATATACAGCAAGTGTTGAGAAGTTCATGGTAGCCTCAGCACCAAGTTCAAGTCAGGACGTTCTTATTTTCCCTTTACCTTTTCCATCTCCTTCAAATTTATCATCATTGTTCTATGCATTCCTATAAATGTCTGGAAATGTTTTTGGAAAACGGTAGGGGTATAAATAAGCAAATGCATTATCATAGGCCACAGAAAACCAGTTTTACTGGCTTCTTTTTTTCCCTTTCCAGATTGAGACGCTACCAGATGGGCTGTTTCAGTGCAAAAAGCTGCAGTGTTTACTTTTGGGGAAAAATAGCCTGATGAGTTTGTCCCCTCACGTGGGTGAGCTGTCGAACCTTACTCATCTGGAGCTCATTGGTAATTACCTGGAAACACTTCCTCCTGAACTGGAAGGATGTCAGTCCCTAAAACGGAGCTGTCTGATTGTAGAGGAGAATTTGCTCAACACTCTTCCTTTCCCTGTAACAGAACGTTTGTAGACGTGCTTAGATAAATGTTGACCTAAAGAGAAAATAATTTTCAAAAGTTTGCCCCAGGGCTTTAAATGAGAGCTAAAATTTTCTAATTTATAAAGATGAAAAATGGGTAATAATTATGACTAACTATAACCAAATGTCTTTAAAGCAACTCAGTGTCTAGCCCTAAGTTAAACAGGTCAAAATTGTTAACACTGAACTTAAGTTTTGTGAATAACTGATCTTTAACTTATTAAGATGTGAGAAGTACACTTCAAGGGTGGCATGGGGGACACGGAATTATTGAATCTCTACCTTGCAGTTTTTACCTTGAAGATTAGATATTCTTTCATATCCTTCCCCCCAGTCCCCATTACTTACTTATTTGCACACTTGTTTTAACTGACTTCCTGTTTTGATACTTATCACCTAGACCATAAATTCATAAGTATAAATGTCCTTGATGTATACTCAACACTGTCTTTGATTTATGTTCTTAAATATTTTTAGGCAGGGTGTACATTGTGCTTGGCTGAATTCCTTCTTGGCTTGATTTTATTTCCTGTCCCAGCTCGCTTGAGTCTTCCTTCATCTTGTTTTCTCTTAACAATGGGGAACCCTAAAAAAAAGCCCCAAAACAAGGGTGAACCCTGAAAACGTGCCTGTCTTTGGCCCTTGCATAGAAAAGGACAGGATACTTAGGACACGTCACCCTCGGGGCACCTTGAAAATTGCTCTATTTCCTAAAATGTCTTCTTATGTATCATCAAAGCCTTTTTTATTTGCTGATCATTTTTATATTAAATGTAAAACATATAACTATTTTCTATGGTATAATTTTGGATTCAAAATATGTGAGAATAATTTTTGTAAGGTACAGAGAACTCATGCATTTCTTTAAGAATTTACTATTAATATACTTGGTTTTGGCTGCTTACGAGTCTCATATTTGTGTGCATCCTGCCCCAGAATGTTTTTGTACTCTGCAACTAATTACTTTTGGATAACACAAGCCTTGTGTTTCTTGCCCTAAAATATTTGGGGGGTTTCCTTATAAGAGGATGGCCACATCATCTACCTCTCTCTTCCCTAGTCGCTGTGCTATTGTACGGGTAACAATTCTTAATTACTTCAAAAACTGTGATGGAGGGGAGAGGTACAGATTTGAATCCTTAAAATTGATTTCAAAACACTTGGAGAAATTAAGACTTAAAGCAAAATACTTCTCCATCTGCATGATCTCTAGATATGATTATAATGTAGAACACTCCGCCTCTGTTCAGTATTTAAGAATTCTCAAAGCTCACAAAGCAGTAGATCCATTTAACTGAAATTCATCTCATGCCTTTGTCTAACTTTCCTGGAATACATTTTGCTCTTTTTTTTGTAAAGAGCTTTGTGTTTAGCCTTTTATTATCATGCATATTGTAAAATGAATAAAGTCAACTGACTCATTTTTGGGAAATGTACATTTTTACCATGTTTTTCTCTGATGGGTCTAAGCATTATGATGCCAGTCTCATTTTGGATGTTAACTATGAAGTAACCTATTAACTGCACCTAGACAAAACTGGAAAACACTATGGGTAAAGTACTGTGAACATGGAATTATGATGCGTGGTGTGTTGTTTCTTGCTTTGCCCCTTCCAGGAAGATAAAAGTGAGTCTTTAAATTATATCAAAATGTAGCTCCCCTCACCTGCCACACACCCCTGAACTGAAGCTCAGAAAAAGGAATTGCTTGTGTCAAATGTAATTTGAATAATACGAGCTATAAAACTATAAACACCAACAGCTGCCTAAAACATTTATTTTTATTCTGAATGAGAAGGAACAGTGTAAAAATGTTAATTCTTACCAAAACTTGCCTTTAGTCAGAACATTCAAGTTCTCAGGGACCCAGGCATAACTGATGAAACTTTCTTCCAGGACTTTAGAAAACAGATTCTGACTCTATCTGGGTTTTTGTTCTTTTCGTTTTTTTAATGTAAGTTAATGGCCATTTTAATGTTTCACAATAAAATTGTCATATGTACGGATTTCAATGTTGGATTGGATTAATCTTAAGTTTTTGGAATATGGAATATGATGCATGAAGAGGTATTGAAATGTTTGTGGCCATATAATTAGCCATAATGTCTATGAAAAATCCCACCCCCCCTCCAGAAAGAAGAGTTATCAAAACAAACCAGATTTGCTACCATTCTCACAAACTAGAACTTCTCCACGGCTAGTCACACTGGTTGTGTTCCCCTGCAAAAGTCATTGACTAAATCTTCCTTATCGCTTCTCTCAATTTCTGGAAGCACATTACTTACTTATCAGGATTGATACTGAATATTGTAAACTGCTTTCCAAACACTAGGGTATGGTTACAAAGAAACCTTGTTCTTTGATGCCATAGTTTTTAGATTCCTGTCTTATTCCAGGCTTACACACCAGTGTTTAGGGAGCTTTTGAAATAACATAGTACTGATGCAATGAACTCTGAGACCACCACCTGACATATTGGAAATGTGGTGTTGGATGCCACCTTTACTGCATTGTTGGAGCAGATCTTCATTTTGCGAGTGTTCATATTCATTTAAGAGGATTTTCAATGAGGAAAATGCGATGTATTCAATTAGGACACGTTAGATGGCATAGGATTTCCAAGAATGTATAATGCATTTTCCAAAAAATACACATGGATGTTACTTGGAACAAAGTTGATGGCTAATGCCAGCAATGGCATAGGTTCATTTCACTTATATATGCACACAGACACACACTGATGAGCTTGGACACACATAGAGACCCACCCTGGGCAGTTTTGAGCGCTCCTGGTAAGGTATAGTGTTCTTTCCCTAACCTGTGTTAGGATACATCTGTGTGGCGCATAGATACTGTGTTTTCAATCTTCATCCTCAGTCTTCATTTTTCTCCCTGCATATCACCATATTTCAGATCACTTAACAAATGTTTGCGTTAAACAGGGTAAGTAGAGATCCATGGGTGCTCAGCGCTGTGGCATAGCTCGTTCGTGTGGTAAGCTAACTACTGCGCTGTGGTAAGCGTCAGTGAGTTCTTTGCATAATATTATTGTTTGAGAGCGACAATATTTGTTTCTGTTCCCCATGCGTTTCATGATTCAAATTTTGTATGTTTAATTAAAATATTGCGTAATGATGGGTTCAGAAACCATTAAAATAATCAAACAGTTATCCTGTGGGTTGACAGCTTTCTTTCCCAGTATTTTGTATAAAACGCTCCTTCCATCTTTACATTCTCTTAGCATCGTCCTAACTGCATAGGTAACTCCATTCCATCACTCACCTCCTTAAATTTGGTCAGCACTTGTGTATAACAGAATATATTTGTGCTAAAGAACTCACAGTGATACTTGAGCATGTATTTATTTGGGGGTAAGCCAGGGCCTCTAATGAGGCCGAATTGAGTTATTCCACTTTACCCATGCCTGCAGTATTTAGAGCTGATTGAATCCATGATCTCTCATCCCTACCAAAAGCACGAGAATATAACCGTAAGTCCACTTTGTTTCCAGGAACTGTATATTGCATCAAAATCTGTGTTCCTTTCTTTCTGGAAACAAGAGGGAGGCTGATGGGAGGGGGAGGAGCTCTTTAGTATCCTCGTTTGAATTATGAAGACATTATATACATGAAATGGTATAAACTCATGGCTGTTGGAAAATGTCCTGGATATAATTATTTCTTATCTTCAGTTGAATGTGAAAGCAGTGAAAACCTGCAGTCCTATTTAATTGGTTTCTTCCTGTTTCTGGTCCATCACTTTTTATATCCGCTGGGAACTATCTGCTCAGTACCTTCGGTAATGGACTACATTCTCTTCACCTTTTTTCTTTTTTTAATATGAACAAGTTCATCAACACTAAAGCATTAACACAGAATATATGAGCTACAGTACTGAGTTGAGATGGTTTCCAGTTGTACCTAATTCATGTTTAAATTTTGCATTTGACTTGTATAATCCACCACTGCTGCGAAAAACAATTACGAATGCCTCCTGCATGTTCTATATTATCTCTAACAGAGATGGTGCAATTTAAAAAATTCAAAGGGGCATAGAATTAGAATGGATATGTCTGTGCATATGTGTGTTGTGTGTAAACCTAAGTATTTATGTTTAAATATTTTTAAAGCTCCTCAGATGTTTCACTCTGAGTGAAATAATGGGCCAATCTTGAGTAGAGGCATTTTCTTTGGTTAGCTTCACAGTGAAAGCTGGAATTTGTTATTTTGTCACCTATTTTGAAAAATGTATGTAATCAGGTTTTGCTTCTGGTAATGAATTGTTCGAAAATATAAGATTTTTTTGTAAGTTGAATGTTTTTGGCCCTCAGGTTTACCATGTAAATCTGCATTTTGGTGGTGAACCCCTTTGCCTGAGATTCGGTGGTTTTTGGTAAACTTCCCTGTTTTAAAGTACCTTTTGTGTAAAATACAGATTCAATTTTTATAACAAATGGCAAATAAAAACAGTCTAAATGTTGGAAAAAGTTGACTGTACTGATTTGTCCCGGTGCAGTTGTACTATCATTCACAAGATGATTGATTTTAGATTTACGTGTGGATCTTGTAACAAGAGTAGGAGTTTTCAAAATATGCGACAATGATCACAAAATAACAGGCCCCTTGAAAAGAGCTGGATTGATCCTAGAATATGCTGGGGCAGGGGGCAGGGAGGGGCGAGATCTGTCCCAACTCTAAGTAGGTCCACCTTTCCAATGGTGCTCATCCTTGGGGACTGATGTTCACAAATCGACCCAGCTCTCTCCCTCTCCTCTTGGCTCTCATTTCTCCATTTACTGTTAGTTTAGCACTAATGCTAAATATGGACTAGATGAAAAGTAAAGAACTGCAAGACAAAATTTTGAGAAGGTTGAGTAAAAGGGGAAAGATGGAATTATTGGGCAAAGTAAGCACATGATAGTTTGGCCTTCTGGATAGAAGACTTTCCTCTCTGTCTCCCTCTCAAACTCATACCCCACCCCACCCCACCCCCCACACACACACTTTCAGGAG